GCAAAGTAGCAGGATACAAGATCAACATACAAAAATCAGTTGGATTCCTTTACACCACCAAAGAGGTCTCTGAAAAGGAAATAAGGAAGTCAGTACTATTTACGATTTAAAAAAAAAAAATCAAACTCACTGCCATCAAGTCAGATCTGACCCACAGTGACCCTTCCTTGGGTTTCCAAGGAGGTATCACTATGGAAGTAGATTGTCCAATCTTTCTTCCGAGGAGTGGCTGGTGGGTTTGAACCACCAGCCTGGTTAGCAGTCAAGTGCCTTAGGCACTACGCTACCAGAGCTCCTTATTCAATCTATATGCTGAGCAAATAATCTAAGAAGCCAGACTATATGGAGAAGAACATGGCATCAGGATTGGAGGAACACTCATTAACAACCTGTAATATGCAGATAACACAATCCTGCTTGCTGAAAAAGTGTTAAACAAAGAAGTCACTTTGAAAACTAAGGTGTCCTTAACCCAATACAAGGTACTTTCAATCGCCTCAGACGCATGTGAAAGTGGGGCAATGAATAAGGAATACTGAAGCAGAGTACAGGAGCTCTGGTAGCATAGTGCCTAAGGCACTTGACTGCTAACCAGAAGGCTGGCAGTTCAAACTCACCAGCCACTCCTCGGAAGGAAGATTGGGCAATCTACTTCAGTAGTGATACTAACTCGGAAACCCAAGGAGGGGTCGCTATGAGTCAGGGCTGATTTGACAGCACATAACAATAACAACAACGAAGCAGGTACGTGCTTTTGAATTAGAGTTGGCAAAGAATACTGAAAAACACACAGATTGCCAAAAGAATGAACAAATCTGTCCTGGAAGAAGTGCAGTTGGAATGCTCCTTGGAAGCGAGAATGGCTAGAATTCATCTCACCTACTCCGGTCATGCTGTCAGAAAGGACCATTCCTTAGAGAAGGATATTATGCTTTGTAAAGTAGACGGTCAGAGAAAAAGGGGAAGGCCCTCAACAAGATGTAATGACACAGTGGCTGCAATGATGGGGACAGGCACAGCAAGGATTGTGAGAACGGCACATGAATGGGCAGTGTTTCATTCTGTTGTACATAGGATTGCTATGAGTTAGAGCTGATGCAACGGCACCTAACGACAACAGATTGGGAAAAAATATTCAGCAATGACCTATCTAACAAGGGACTTATCTCTGAAGTTGATAGAAAACTTCAACACTCCAATATCAAAAGGACAAATAATCCAATGAAAAATGGGCCCATGAATAGACACTTCACCAAAGAAGATATTCAGGCAGTCAACAAATACACAAAGAAATGTTTGCAATCATTAGCCATTAGAGAGATGCAAATCAAAACAACAAGGAGATACCATCTCACTCTAGCATTAGTAACAAAGTTCAACAAGACAGAAAATAACAAATGCTAGAGAGGATGTGGAGAGATTGGGACTCTCATATATAGTGGTGGAAATATAAAATGATACAACCACTGTGGAAATCATTATGGCAACTCCTTAAAAAGTTGTAATTAGAAATACCATTTAATCTAGCAGTCCCATTACTAAGTATATATCCTGAAGAAGTGAGAGCCAGAACACTAACAGATGTAGGCATACCCATGTTCATTGCAGCACTATTTACAATAGCAAAGAGATGGGATGGAAACAACCTAAATGCCCATCAACAGAAGAATGGATAACCAAAGCATGGTACATACATACAATGAAATACTTTGTAACCGTAAAGAATACTGGTAGAATCTGTAACACTGCATAATGTGGATGAACTTGGAGGACATTATGCTGAGTAAAATAAGTCAATTATAGAGGGACAAATACTGTGTTAGTACACTATTGTCAAAAGTCAAGGAAAAGTTTATATATGGGAGGAAACTTCCTTTGTTGGTTACCAGGAATGGGAAGGGAGGGAAAATTCCTAGATAGGTTGAAAAAATATAGACAGATGGATAGATAGACTGATAGACAGATATACCAAAGATTATTAGTGTTTACCAGGAGTGGGAGGGAGGAAGAAAGGGGAAGCTTTGGTCTATGGGGCATTGAGTTTATGCTAATTGTGGTGGAGTATTTTGGGAAAGGACAGCAATAATGGTGGCACAACATGAAAAATGTCATCAATATCGCTGAGCTGTAAATGAGGAAGTTGTTATGTTGGTGAACGTCTTGGTGTGTTTTCACAATAAAAGCTTAAACAAACAAACAAAAAAGTCTGGGCTGGGACTTGCAATACAATATGACCAAGACAACAGAGAAAACAGTTCCAACTGGGAACCCAGAGCCAGTACTTGGGAGCCTGTATCTTACTATACACCAAGTCAACCCTACAGGCACAGTGGTTACAAGCTCAGCTGCTAACTGAAAAGGTTAGCAATTCAAATGCACTAGCAACTTGAAAGAATAGACAGGATTTTAAGAGGGCAGTGAGTTTATGTTGAGTCAAAGAATTCAGAAAAGGTAGGTAAGAATAGTTATACAACTTGAAGAATGTAATCAGTGTCACTAAACGGTACATGTAAAAACTAGTGAGCTGATGTACGTTTTGCTGTGCATATTCTGACAACAAAATAAATTTAAAAATATAGAGAGTGAGTTTAAGAATGAATCACTACAAACAGAGAAAAAAATTACTTCTGAAAGATTAGTAGTGAGGAAAGAAACTCAGCTTCAGTATTTTTCCTCTGCAAAGGATAATGAGTTGCTCTAGCATCAAATGGGGGAAAAATCAAATTTCCTACCTCATACCATATTTAAAAATCTACATTAAAAACCATAATAGGTGATACAGGAGAATATCTTGATGACCTCAGGATAAGATGCCACCTCATATTCACTACCTAGGCAAATACCACAAAGTCAAGAAACAGCATGCACTGACAAAGATGAGAGCAACCAGAAAACCTGCATACTACTAGTAAAACGAATGTTTACAATGTGGAAAACACAGCATTGTTTAGAAGATGAGTATGTGTACTGCCTATCAACATATATAGTAAGAGGTATGTTCAAGAAAGTTCCTAGTGCTTATCAAAATATTCTGAAGTGGAAACGACATACTCATCAAAATATACTGTAGTATATATTTGTACAAGGAGACAGCTCAGAGGACAGGAATGCATAGGGAAGGACACAGGCAAAGGAAACACAAGGAGGACATGGGCAGAGAGTTGTTATATTGTGAGGGGATTGCAATCAGTGTCATGAAACAAAATGTGTGTGCACTGTTGTATGGAAAATTACTTTCCTCTGTGAACTTTCACCCAAATCACAATTTAAGGGGAAAAAAGAAAGAAAGAAAGAAAAAAGCCATCCCAGAGGCAGAAAGGGGATCTTATACCATCAAGAAAGAAGCCCAAGTGTATCTTTTGGACCCGAGATCCTTGCACTGAACTTCCTTAACCGAGGAGCCAGAGAGAGAGCTGTAACATTTTGCTCAGATGGGCTAGAGATGGCAGCAGTGAAACTACAGCAGCAGAGGTAAGAGAACCAAGAGAGATGCTTGAGACAGAGCTTGCTAACCCATAGAGCAAGAAAGGTGAATGCCCTCGGGCAGGAGGCTTGCTGGAAGAGAGGGGTGCCTCTGTGAACACCTATCAGCAGAGCTAAAAAGAGTTTTCTAACACTTGCCCAAGCAGGGAAGAAGCCAAAGGGCCACAGGATCTAGACACCGAGGCTAGAGAAGTCTGCCTGCTTGCACAGCTGAAAAGACATTGTTCCGATGGAAGAACTGTATTCTGAGTTGTTCCTGATCCTGAACTGCCTGAATTGTTACCTATTATACTTCCCTAACAAATCCCACAATCGTGAAGGAAAAAAAGATATATTGCGGTACAATCATATAAAAGATTATTTGTATTACTAAGCCTGTAATATAGATGAAATCTCAGGAATATAATTTTTTTGGGGGGGAAAAAAAAATCAAGTCACGAAAGAACACAGTATATTCCCATTGACAATAAACCTGAAAAAGTATTTGTGCAGGTATATATATACACACAGTAAAATTTTACTGAGAAAAAGATAAACAAAACATTAACAGAATACCCCAAGAGGGCAGGACACAGGACAAATGCAAGGATTGCTTCAAAGTTAATGGTCATTTTTGTTTTTCCATTGAGTGGTGGGAATTCTCCACTGTTTGTTTTGCTGTAATCCTTTTCTATTACCCATGCATTTTATAAATATTACTAATATTCACCATTTTAAAAATTAAGTGCTTTATTTTTCACAGCAAAACAACCACAGACATTGCTTTATAAAATAATGTAGAAAAGGATGTCCAGTTCAAATTTTCACAGAAATCCAAATTCAGAGATATTCTAAAAAACTGTCTGACATGCTTAAAAAATGTCAGTGTCCTAGAAGACAAAGAAAAGCGGAAGAACTGCTCCAGACTAATGAGACCTACTAACTACACGCTATATAAGATGCAGGGTTGGATCAGGGGAAAACTTCCTATGAGACAAGTGGTGGAACTAAAACATAAGTCTCACAGTTAATTAGATTTATAGTATTGTTTCAAGAAAGAGCTTCATAAATGAAATAGTTAACACTAAGAATCTGGGAAAAGGGCATAAAGTTGCACTCTGTACTTTTCTTGCAACTTAAAAATTTATCTCTACATTAAAAGTTTACAAGTTAATACATCAATTTTTACCATTATAAAGAAAATTACTCATAAAACAACTATATTATAGTAAAAAGTTATACAGGCATTGCTTTCAGCCTTCCTTAATGACACTAGCAATTATGTTCAACTTCATTCTTTACCTCACATACTCTCTGTTACCTCAAACCACAGGGAGACTTGGCTTTGCAATCTACTAAAATATTACTACAGACCTTTCACTTACAATGTAGATAATGATGTGTTAATGGTGGTGAATAGCTCTTAAATGGATGGCAAAAAAGAGAGATCATCACTCTGTACCTCCTTAAAATACTGTTGTGGGAAAGAGCTATTAAGTTAAATTATGATAATGGTTTTTAAGAAAAGGATGATTCACCTTCCATGGTTTTTCTGGAATTGGTGGATCTTCAATTTCAGCATCAACATCACTGCTGTGGACCCAAGTATCATAGCTATAAAAGAAATTTAAAAAAAGGAAAAACAAATTAGAACCCAAGTTAATTCATTAAGAGATTTTAATCATATACTAAAGATGTATTTTAGAAATACTATTAGAACCTAGTAATAGCAAGTTAAAAAGACACTTTTGTCTCTATCTCTCTGCCAAGAAAATGGTTCTTTAGGTCACCAATACCCTTAACAATGCTAAACTGAAAAGTTCAAATCTCAGTCCACATCTTATCCAATCAACACACAGAATTTTAAACACTTCATCATTCTCTCCCCAAAGCAATTCCGTCACTTGGTATCCAGAACAGTACTTATCATCTGGTGCTCCTCCTAGCCCTTCCTCAGCCTCTGCTGCCAGTTTCTCCTCTTTTCCCACACTGCTTCAACTCTGGGGGGCCTGAAGCCTCAGTTTTTTTTTTTTTTTTATCACTCCTCTTCTTATCTACTCATTTCTTTGGTAATCTATTTAGTCCTATGGCTTCACAGACATACTGACAACTCATATCTCCTCCCTTTGCTCTGCATTCTGGACTCATGCTTCCAGTGGCCAATTTCAAATCTCCCATTTTTCATGTCTAATAAATCATCATTCTGTACCTCCTTAAAATACTGTTGCATACTCAAAATTTTTGTAGTACTATCCTGCCATCAATGTACCTTAGCTGATCACACCCACCGTAGTCAATGCCAGCTCTATCAGGCCAAAAGCCTTGAAGACATCCTGGACTCTTAATTACATTCTATAGCCAAATCATCAGGAAATATTATCGGCTCCACCTTCAAAATGTATCTCGTATCTATTTCTCAACTCCCCCCCCAATTCTGTTTACCAGTTTCCCTGCTTCTACTTTTGGTCCCTACAGTTAATTTTTTGCCCAATAACCAGATTGATCCTCTTGAAAACAAGATAATACCATATTACTCCTCCGCTCAAAACCTTCCAAGGCCCCCAACTAACTCAGAATGAAAGTCACAATCATTACAGTGGCTTGCCAAGACTTCAAGATTGGATCGTATGCCTGTTGCTATGACCCCATCTACTGCTCTGCTCCCTGCCTCATGTAACTTGAGCCACTTGGGCTTTAGTGGCATTCTTTCAAGATGCTAGGCAACTGCTGCCTCATTTCCTTCGCCCATGTTGCTCCCTTCTGCCTGGAGTGCTCCTCACCCCACCCCACCCCACCCCCAATATCCATATGGCTTATTCCACCATTCCCTTACTTTCTCACATCTGTGTTCCAAGGTCACCTTATCATTAAGGTCCAATTCACTGATATAAAATTAAATCATCAGGGGAAATGGCAATCAGTAATCCAGATAGGAAGCAGGAAGACTGCTTTTTGTACACTGAGGGAATTGCAACTAATGTCACAAAACAAAATGTGTATAAACTGTGGAATAAACCAAACCAAAGCAAACTCACTGCCGTAGAGTCGGATATGACTCATAGCGACCCCTCCTTGGGTTTCCAAGGTAGTATCACGAAGGAAGTAGATTGCCACATCGTCTTTCCAAGGAGTGGCTGGCGGGTTTGAACTGCTAGCTTTCTGGTTAGCAGTCAAGTGCCTTAGGCACTATGCCACTACACTGGCCAATAAGCTATTACAAAGTCAAGCGATACCTAACAAGTATGGTAGCAACCACTGGTTTCCTTATAGTGACTACTCAGAAGTCAGTTCAAAAGCACAACTCTATGTATCTATAAACAGAACTCTGGTAAGTTTTCTTAGAAGCAAATCCAAAGCATCTCAAAGAGAGAAAAGAGCTGGTGATCTGCTCTTATAAAGATTATAACCCAGAAAACTCTATAGGGCAGTTCTACTCTGTCCTAAAGAGTCGTTATGAGTCAGAATTGATTTGCTGGCATACAACATCACATCACATCAAGTTCTCAAACAACATTTAAATATGAGCTGGGACAAAAATTTCCTTTGCCAGTTAACCAAGTATACCAGGTAAAAATTACAATGGGAGGGGGGGGATAACTTCATATTCTTTTTGTTGAAAGGCTCAATTAGAAAATATAACGTAGGCAGTACAGGGCACAGGTACAGAGGATATCTCTACATATGTATTTTTATGTGCCACAAACATACCTATGAATATAATAAGCACAAAGAGGGCAAAGTTATGGAAACTTCTTAGTCATAACCAAATACTTTGAAGGAATGAGACAGTGGGCATGAGGGCCCAGTTTTGGGTAAGGTCAACTAGCATAACGTAGTCCACAAAGACATTGCTCTACATTCTACATTGCTGAGTAGTGACTGGAGTCTTAATAGCTTGTGAGTGGCTAAGGGCTAACTATTGGTCTTTCCCATCTGAAGCAAAGAAGATGATGAAAACCCAAGATACATGGAAACAATTAAACCAGTGAACTAAGGGACCACGTTGAAACTCAGCCTCCACAACTCTGAGACCAGAAGAAGTAGATGGTGCCAAGCTGAAGGGATCACAATATGAAGTCCCAGATAGAGTGGGAGAAAAATGGAGAACAAAACTCAAAATTATTAAAAAAAAAAAAAAAAGACCAGACTTACTGGTCTCATGTGGACTGGTGTAACCACCAAGACTATGGCTCTTAGACACCCATCAAGTCCAGTACTGAACTCAAACCCTGTGTTTCAACTTTCAGCCAAACAACAGACAGGCCTATAAGATGAAAACTAATACCACAGAGGAACTCAACAATCAACCACAAGAGATCAAAAGGGCAGCTATTTGCCTGGGGATAAAACCAGGAAGGCAGGAAGGGACAGGAAAGGAAGACAAAGGAAAATGGAAAAGGAAGAAGTGGGAAGAGTACTGTTATACTGTGGAGGTTGCAATCAATATCACACACAAATTCATACAAATGTGTATGAATTTTGAATGGAAAACCAATTTACTCTGTAAACTTTTGTCCAAATCACACACAAAATATCACACACACACATGACATAAGTAGTACAGGACACAGGCAGCAGTTAATTAAGAAACTGAACTAATGAGGCCTTTTAAGAAGACAAGACTTGCACTAGGCACTACATCTTTTTTCATAATGACTAGGTTAGCAAAAAGGCTAATGTACCTGATACAAATTACATCAAATCCTATACTTATCTGGCTTATCACCACACATTTGAGTTTCTATCTAAGTGCTTCGAAGGGCAAAGAGCTTTTGTATAGTAGTTCTTATAATATAACCAAACACAAAAAAACTCACTGCCACAGAGTCGATTCCAACTCACAGCAACTCCCATTGCGTTTCTGAGGCAGTAAATCTTTACAGAAGTAGATTGCCCAGTCTTCCTTCTGCGGACTGGATAAGTTCAAACTGCCAACCTTCTAGTTAGCAGTCAAATGCCTTAGGCACTGCATCACTAGAGCTCCAGTTTATTTTAACAGTGTCAATGATCACTGCCTTCAAGTTTTGTGTTATGGATTCAACTGTGTCCCCAAAAATGTGTCAACTTGGTTAGGCCATGATTCTCAGCATTATGTAATTATCCTTTATTTTGTGATATATTTATCCTAAGTGCTGCGAAGCTAATGAGGCAGAATTAGAGGCAGTTATGTTAATGAGGCAGGATACAATTTATAGTATTAGGCTTTATCTTAAATCAATCTCTTAAGAGACATGAAAGAGATTAAACAAGTGAGCAAGGCTGAGAGGGACCTGACTATCACAAGAAGTGCCTCTGAACTCAGGGTCCTTGCAGTGAGAACTTCTAAAACCCAGGGGAAGATTGATGCCAAGACACATGGAGATCTCAAAGGAATGCCAGGCCTACAAATATTGAAAGGAAACAAGGACCTTGCCCCACCAGAGATAGAGAAAGCCTTCCCCTAAAGCTGGCATCCTGAATTCAGACTTCTAGCCTCTTAAACTATAAAATTTCTGCTTGTTAACGACATTCACCTGTGGTATTCTTGTTATAGCAATAGTAAGTAACCAAGACACTTTGTTACTAAAAATGTTTTGTACAAAGCATCTTTAAAAATTGTTCACATACAGTTGTCAGTTATGCTTCAGAAGAGGTTGATTACCTAGTTGACTTGATTTGGGTCCAACTGACTTAATTTGCATAAAGACTGAATATATTTATTTACATATTTCCCTCTTTAAAAAAAAAACATTTAAAATATAGTTACTCTAATTGATTAACTGAAAAAAAAAAAAAAGCAGAGATATTACGTATCTCTTGATTTCCGAGTACACACCTCTGCAAAAGTGATAAGCTCTCCAAAACTGAGCTGGAATCTGATCAATTGCTAGAGTCAACTACCATTTAAAAAAATAAATAAATAAAAACCCAGAAATCTGTTAAAGTACACCACAGTAATATAAACAAATGAAAATCTAAACTTGGCTAAATTCTATGGGATGTCCAGTTTGGCTTCTTAAATTTAAAAATTACAAGTGGAGGTGGGAAAGAAAAAGAACCTATAAATTAAAACATACTTAAGATCTTCATCAATGAATTCTACTTTAAATGAAAATTAATCAGTCATAAAATGTATCATTTATATGACAAGTGGAAATATGAACAACAAATGAGTATCTGGTATCAAGGAACTATTCCCTCCCCCCTTTTTTTTTTTTAAGTTTTACAGTGGTATTATAGTGACTTTATCTACGAGTTCTTAATCTTTTAGAAAGGAGGTCTGGTGATGCAGTGGCTAAGGCATTAGATTGCTAACCAAAAGGTCGACAGTTTGAACCCACCAGCCACTCCACAAAGAAAGATGAGGCAATCTCCTTCCGTAAAGATTTACAGCCTGGGAAACTCAATGAGGGTTGCTATGAGTCAAAATCAACTCAACAGCAGTGAGTTTGTATATGCGTGTGTGTGTGTGGGGTAAATTTTAGAAATGCATGCTGACTATTTCTGATTGAAATGGTATAGTTGGCATCTGCTTCCAACAATACCAGAAGGTGAGAAACAAATGGAACAGAGGTGAAGGACAACTGAGCTGACCTGAAAACTCACAATGGAAAAACTCTCCATTTGACATGACAATAGTGAAACAAACATGAAAGAAGCTCTAGTGCAGATTTAGGAACATGAAGTGCATGAAAGGCTAGAGCTATTCCTTTGTACCCTGTTGCTGTTAAGTGTCGTTGAGATGGTTCCGACTTATAGAGACTCTATGTACAAAAGAATGAAACAAAGCCTGGTCCTGCACCATCATTACAATTGTTACCAAGCCTGAGCCTATCACTGCAGCCACTGTGTCAGTCCATCTCACTGAGGACCTTCCCCTTTTTCGCTCTTTACTTCACCTAGCATGATATCCTTCTCCAGGGATTAGTCCCTTCTGACAACATGACCAAAGTAGAGACAAAAAGAGACCAAAGAGAATCAAAGTCTCACTTTTAAGAAGCACTGAGGCTGTACCTCCCCCCAAGACAGATTTGTTCATTCTTCCACTAGTCCGTGGCACTTTCAATATTCTACAACACCAGAATTCAAATGCATCACTTCTTCTGCAGTGTTCTTTATTCACTGTCCAGCTCTCACATGAATATGAGGCTACTGAAAATACCATGGCTTGGGTCAGGCTCACCTTAGTCCTCAAGGTGACATCTTTGCTCTTTAACACTTTGGAGAGGTCTTTTGCGGAAGACTTGTCCAATCTCTTGACTGTTGCTTCTATGAGCACTGATTGTGGATTCAAGGAAAATGAAACAACTCCAATCATTTCACCATTTACCATGACATTGCTCACTGGTCCAGTTGTGAGGACTTTCCTTTTCTTTATGCTGAGGCTGCAGTCATTGATCTTCATCAGTTAGTGCTTTAAGTCTTCTTCACTTTCAGCAAGCAAGTTATGCCATCTGTGTATCACAGGTTGTTAATGAGTCTTCCTCCAATCCTCATGCCACGTTCTTCACATAGTCCACCTCCTCAGATCATTTGCTCAGCACACAGAATGAATAACAATGGTGAAAGAATACAACCCTGACATACACCTTTATTGATTTGAAAACACAAAGTATATCTCCTTGTTCTGTTTGAATGACTGTCTCTTGGTCTACCATGAGCACTATTAAGTGTTATGGAATACTCATTCTTCACAATGTTATCCATAATTTGTTATAATCCACACAGTCGAATGTCTTTGCATAATCAATAAAACACAGGTAAACATCTTTCTGGTATTCTCTTCTTTCAGCCAAGATCCATCTAACATCAGCAATGATATCTCTTGTTCCACACCTTCCTCTGAATCCAACTTGAATTTCTGACAGTTCACTGTTCATCAACTATTGCAACTGCTTCTGAATTACCTTCAGCAAAATTTTACTTGTGTGTGATATTAATGATAATGTTCAATAATTTCCACATTCTATTGGATTACCTTTTTTCTGGAATAGGCACAAATATGGATCTCTTCCAATAAGCCAGGTAGCTGTCTCCCAGATTTAATGGTATAAAGGAATGAGCACCTCTAATGCTACATCCATTTGTTGAAACATATCAATAGTTATTCCATCTATGCCTGGAGTCTTATTTTTCACCAATTCCTTCAGTGCAGCTTGGACTTCTTCCTTCAGTATCATTAATTCTTGATTACATGCTACGTCCTGAAATGTTTGAACATCAACTACTACCCTTTTGGTACAATGACTGTGTATTCCTTCCATCTTCTTTTGATGCTTCCTGCATCATTCAATATTCTACCCACAGAATCCTTAAATATTGCAACTGGAAGCCTGCATTTTACTTCAATTCTTTCAGCTTGAGAAATGCTAAGCATGTTCTTCCCTTCTGATTTTCTAACTCCAGGTCTTTGCACATTTCATTATAATACTTTACTTTGTCTTCTTGAGCTACCTTTGCAATCTTCAGTTCAGCTTTTACTTCATCATTTCTTCCATTCACTTTGGTTACTCTCCTTTCAAGAGTAAGTTGCAGAGTCTCTTCTGACATTCATTTTGGTCTTTTCTTTTTTTTTTCCCTGTCTTTTAAATGACCTTTTGTTTTCTTCATGTATAATGTCCTTGGTGGCACCCCCAACTTGTCTGGTCTTCTGTCACTGGTGTTTAACACATAAAATCTATTCTTCAGATGGTCTCTAAAACCAGGTGAGATATACTCAAAGTTGTATTTTAGTTCTTACGGATTTATTTTTCTTCAGCTTTAACTAGAAATATGCTCATATTCCATATGTCTGTGCCAGTTGGCTCCTTGCCTCGTTCTGACTGATGATATTGACCTTCTCCATTATCTCTTTTCACAGATAGCAGTCAATTTGATTACTGTGTATTCCATATGGTGAGGTCCACATGTGCCTTTTATGTTGTTGAAAAAGGGTATTTGCAATGAATTAAGTCATGGGTCTTGTTAAATTCTATCATGTGATCTCAGGCATCATTTCTATCACCGAGGCCTTATTTTCCAACTACTGATGCTTCCTTCATCTTTGTTTCCAACTTTAATGTTCCATCAATAGTAATTATCAGAGTACCTTTGACTGCATGTTTGATCAATTTCAGACTACAGAAGTTGGCAAAAATCTTCAATTCCTTCATCTTTTGTTCTGGTGGTTAGTGGGTAAATGTGAATAATAGTTGCAGTAACTGTTCTTCTTTATAGATGTATGGATATAATCCTATCACTGATACCATGGGACTTCAGGATAGATCTTGAAATGTTCTTTTTGACTATGAATGTGATACTATACCTCTTCCATTGTTATTTCCACCATAATAGACCATATGATTGTCTGATTCAAAACGGCCAATACCAGTCCATTTCACCTTATGAATGCCTAGGATACTGATCTTCAAGAGTTCCCATTTGTTTTTCCCAACTTCCAATTCTCTAGGTTCATACTTTGTACATTCCATGTTCTGATGATTAACGGATGTCTGCAGTTATTTCTTTTCATTTTGAGTCACGGCATATCCAGAAATGAAGGTCCCAAAAGCTTTATTCTATTCACTTCCTTAAGGTCAATTCCACTTTGAGGAGACAGTTCTTCCCCAATCATATTTTGAGTGCCTTCCAACCTGAGGGGCTCATCATCCAGCACTGTATCAGGCAATGTTTCCTTGCTCTTCACAAGGTTTTCGGTGGCCTATCTTTTTTTATCCCTCAGAAGTGAACCTGGCCATGTCCTTCTTCCTAGTCTTAGTCTAGAAGCTCTTCTGAAACTTGTCCTCCATGAGTTGTCCTTGCTGATATTTGAAATACCAGCAGCATACTTTCCATCATCACAGAAACATGTAAACCACCACAGTACAACAAAATCTATTCTTCAGATGGTCTCTAAAACCAGGTGAGATATACTCAAAGTTGTATTTTAGTTCTTACAGAACAAGTGGTACTCTGTACCCTATGCAGGCATTAATAGTAAAGTCAATGAAGATAATCATTCTCACTCACATATACCTCTTGTTTATAATATTCCTTATTCATATTTTTGATGCTGAAGCACAGTATGAGTTATGACATATAAAATGAGCAGTAATAGTGGGGAAATAAAACTTCACTTTAGATATAAACTGTTTCACTCTTAACAGTCTAGCTATGACTAATAGATTATTAAAGGTTAAAAAAAAATTTAAAACCAACCAGTCTTGGTTGGGAAAAAATTTTGTCTTTTTCTTTCTTGAAGGAAACCACCAGGCTATTTCCATACTGAAGAAATCTTTTGGAAAATACAGGCAAAATACCAGTTTACTGAGATAAAAAAAAGCCATGTGACTTCCCTGGATTCTACAATTAAAATAAGAAAAGATCAATGAAATATTCAATAAAATGAGAACAATGACTGATTCACACAAATCAACAAAGCTGTCACTACTCATAAAATTAAATTATATAGAAATAATTCTGGTTTGCTTTGACAAAAATATTTATACCAGATCTTGAAGCATATCAACATTACCTGTCTGGATAAAACCCCCAATGCACTAGCACCTGTTTATCTTTTCTCATCACCGGTCTCAACCACTCTTCTGAAAGGGGAAAAAAAAAAAAATTCAGTCAAATTGACAAAAAAATGAATAAACTATTATACAACCTTAAGTTTTACCGAAGCTTTTCAGTCCACTAGTTTTGGAGGGGGGAGCACAGATAAATTTTTTTCTTAATTGAGCACTCTCTATGACATTAAGGAGAAATTTCTCAGCCTGCGTACTGCTCTCTAGATTCTAAACCCAGAATCCATCACTTGGCAAAACCAACTGCCCATTACAGTCAAATGCTCCTCTCTGACTTACCTGCCTGACTCTCACCACAATCACTATATTCTTTACTGCCTCATATCCTGTGTAGGATCTGTCCTCCATTTTTCTGTGAAAGTTTACGATGACTATACACCTTTCAAGATCTAAGTCATGAGGCAGGACTCCTTGATGAAATGCTTTCCTGACTATGCTGCTTCCTGCACATTCAGTTTCTCTAGTATCCTATAGCACTTTACAGTTCTACATCAAAGATTTTGTACCAGTTAATACTATTTTCATTACTCTTTAATTACTTCATACCTATTAATTTAACCCTTCCAGCAATAATGGTAAAGGAGCTCTAGTGGTTAAGGCATTTGGCTGCTAACCGAAAGGTCCAGTGGTTCAAGCTGCTCCATGGAAGAAAGATGAGGCAGTTTGCTTCTATAAAAATATCCAGCCTTGGAAACCCAATGGGGTTCTCTATGAATTGTAACTAACTTCATGGCAGTGAGTGAACATGATTGTAAACAATGTGATTGTACATGCTGTAGTTATTTTTTCTTTCTTGTTTCTTTTGTAATGATAGGTGCAAATTACACGATCAACCGATTTTTACAGACTTCAACCAATAAACTGAATTAATTCTACCTTTCAGCACTGATTATCAAGTACTTTCTTGGTAATCTTAATCAGTCCTACTTGTTACAGGAAAGTTCTGAAGTTGACTCCTTGAAACCCAAGAAACAGCAGAATAGTAAAACTAAGGAAAATTACCTCATGGAGTTTTCAGTGCCCATTTCAGTGTGAAACAGCCCCAGCTTCAGGAAGTAAAGGTATGAAGTCCCCCTGCCTGTGCTCTTTTCAAAGCACTCCACTGCTCCCCTTACATGAGGCTCATTCCTTAATACGATATCCTAACATGGCCTACTTCTGTAGTGATACTGCCCTGGAAACTCAAGGAGGGGTCGCTGTGAGTAGGGTCTGACTCAACAGCACATAACAACAACAACAACATGGCCAAGGAACATAAAACATGCTGTGAGGATGTGGAGAATTGGAAATTCATGAGATTATAAAATTAGAAACTCAGGGGATTGTAAAATGGTGCAGCCTTTGTGGACAAGAGTATGTAGCTCAAAATGTTAAAAATTGAGTTGTTATATGACCCAGCAATTCTACACTTAAGTATGTAAGCAAAAGAACTGAAAACATTAAGTCCAGACAAAAACCTGTACATGAATGTTAATTAGTAACATTATTCATAATAGCCAAAAAGTGGAAATAATCCAACTATCCATTAACTGATGAATAGATAAACAAAATGTGGTATATCCATACCATGGAACATTTTTTGCCATAAAAAGGAATGAAGCACTGATAATAAAAATAAAAAAAAAACATTGCCGTTAAGTCAATTACGACTCCTAGCGACGCTTTTTAGGAGAGTAGAACTGTCCCACGGGGTTTCCAAGGCTGTAAATCTTCACAGAAGCAGAATGCCTCACCCTTCTCCCATGGAGTAGCTGGTGGGTTTGAATGCCAACTGTTTAGTTAGCAGCCAAATGCTTTAACCACTATGTCTCCTTTCAGTTATGCTAACTTGAAGAAACCAGACACAAATGGCTGTATAAGCTGTATAATGTATTATTCCATTCATGAAATGCCCAGAATAGGCAAATCCAAAGAGAAGAAAAGTAGATTAGTGTTACCAGTCACTACAGTGACAAGGGGAAAGAAAGGGAGTAACAGGTACTGGGTATGGGTGATGAAAATTTTGTACAGTCAAATAGTAGTAACAACTCTATAAATACCCTAAAAAATCACTGAACTGTACAACTTAAAAAGGTGAATTTTACGTTACTTCTATCTCAATGAAAGGAGCTCTGGTGGCGCTGTGGTTAAAGTATTGGGGCTGCTCACCAAAAGGTCAGCAGTTAGAACCTACCAGCCATGCCGCCGGAGATAAAGAAGGCAATCTGCTTCCGTAAGGATTTATAGCTTGGGAAACCCTATGAGGCAGTTCTACTCTGTCTTACAGGATCCCTGTGAGTCAGAATTGACTCGATGGAAGTAGGTTTGGGTTTGAGTTTGTATCTCAATGAAGGTGTTATTAAAAAAAAAAGAGAGAGAGAGAAAAGAGAAAGCATGGCTCAGTCAAGAGGCTCAAAAGGCAATCGATGTGTCTGAAGCACAAAGAACAAAGAAGAGAATGGTACAGAATAAACAAATTAGTTCAAAGTAGGGGAACATTTTTAAATATGTACTTTTTCTTCTTTGAATTCCTTCATATCATCATCATCATTATGGTTGTATTATTCTATTAATAGTTTATTTTTGTGTTAGATTTAGGTTTTTTTTCCCTTCTAATTAATATCTCTAGTTTGTTACTTTATTTATTCACATTTGAGGGAGTATGTTTTCTTTTTGCCAATATTAGTACTTGTACCCATGTGCTGAAACCAACCCCTCAATCCCTTTTAGGTTTTACCCTATTTACCTGCTTCAGTTTAATTTCTTCGCTGTCCACAAATGCACTATGAAGCCACCACTTGAAAGACACACTTTATTACAGCAGCTGAAAACACTCTTATTTTCCTACTCAGAATTAATGTTAGAATGGGCTAATAAAGCTTTTGAGATAATGGGATGGAATGACTGTATTTTGCATGAGGGGAGGACTTGAATTTGGGGAGTCCTGAGGGGCTGACTGTTATGAACTGAAATGTGTCTCCTAAAAAGGTATGTTGAAGTCTTAACTCTTAGTACCTGTGAAGCTGACCTGGTTTGGAAATAGAGCATTTGAAGATGTTATCATGTAAATTAACATGAGGTCAAACTGGTCCTCATTCCATCTGAGTAGTGTCCACATAAAAGAAAATCAACAAAAGGAGCTGACAGCCATATGAAACCACATCTGTAGGTTAAAGAATGCTAAAAAACAAAACAAAAAAAACCCTGAGGCTAAGAGAAGTCAGAAGGGTCAAGAAAGGAGCTCACTTACAGCCTTTAGAGTAAACATGGGACTGCCAACACCTTAGGAGCTCTGGTAGCGTAGTGCCTAAGGTACTTGTCTGCTAACCAGAAGGCTGGAGGTTCAAACCCACCAGCCACTCATGGAAGGAAGGGTGGGCAATCTACTTCCCTAGTGATATTGCTTGGGAAACCCAAGGAGGGGCAAGTAACAACAACAACAGCCAACACCCTGAATTCGGAATACTAGCCTTCTCAACAGTGAGACAATAAATTCTGTTTTATAAACCACCCACACTTTGTGGTATTTTGTATGGCATCCTCAGGAAAATAATACACATGCCATATTCACAAACCTTACTGATGCCTTAAGACTTGTTACTTTAAATATTAAATCCTCAAAGAAGGTATGAGGATATTACATACAGCATGGCCTTTAATTTACTATAGTTGTTACTAATGAGAACACTTAACCAAAATGTGTATACATGTTTTGTAGGAGTCTAGCACACAGCACTGCAGAATCTACATTTACTAGACAGCTAGTTATTCTAATATAAATCCTGTAACATACAGATCTATGTATCACCTAAAAAAATTACTTTAAATATATTAAAATTGAACACTTAAGTTCTCCTTACTCTTGACTACTAATACCAATACCAAGCAAGCATCAGTAAACAAAGTGATATTAAACAAATGAGAAAAGCAAAACTAGCATGAATAAGGGGAGAATTATTAAGTAGCTAGATGTAACAATGTACAGATAGCTCTAATAACATGTAACAGGCAAAGCTCAGAATCTAAAAGTTCTCCATATTGGATAAACAAGAGATAGCCACCCAGAGAATTAGTATTTTAACATACACAACTATCCATCATCTCCATCTAGTGGAAAGCAGTTGCCATTATAGAATGGATTAGGGCTGAGGAAATACCAAGTAACTAAACTATAAAGGAAGGGCAAGGTTTCTCACTTTATAAAGCTAAATAAAATTCTAACTGGTACAAGTAAAACCAAATTTTTAGCTATCAAAATTGATGATGAAAAGATCTAAATCCAAGAGCTAATACTATAAAACTCTTAGAAGAGAAGCTGTGCCTAAGTCTTCATGGCCTTGGATTTGGCAATGGTCTCCTGGATGTAACTTCAAATGCCCTAGCAACAACAGCAGCAAAAGGATAAATTGGACTTCATCAAAATAAAACTTTTTACGCTTCAAGAAATTATCAAAAAAATGAGAAGATAACACATGGAATAGGAAAAAACATTTAAAAATCATTTATCAAGTATCCAGAACATATAAAGAACTTTTAACAATAAAGACAAATTACCCAACTAGAATATGGGCGAAAGATCTGAATAAGTATTTCCTTAAATATATACACATACATACATACACACACATATACATATACACACACACATATACAATTGACTAATAAGTATATGCAAAGATATCTGACATCATCAGCAACTAGAGAAATACAAACCAAAACCACAGCAGTACCACATGACATCCAGTAGGATGGCTATATTCAAAAGGACCGAAAATATCCCAGGATCATCTTTTAGTGGAACAGCAGAGTGGCATACAAAATAAAGGATGTTACGCCAAAGAACAGCAGAGGACTATACTAAAAAACATCTGTATAAGCTCAAAAGGTTAACATTTATCCTAAAGCAAAGATGATAAGACAAGAGGGCAAGAAAACTAGAGCAGTGGAAATGAAACACCCAGAACACAACTACAGAAAATGCTGACACACTGAAAAATCTAACTATCAAGAACAATTGGTGTGGAATGGGAACCTAACCTGCTGTGTAAACTGTCCCCAAAAACAGTATTTTTTTTTTTTTTTTTAAAAAGGGCAGCCAATAACAAGTATTAATGAGGATGTGGAGAAATTGAATATTACATATTGCTAGTGAAAATGTAAAATGGTTGCAGTCACTTTGGAAAACAGCCTAGCAGTACCTCAAAAGGTTAAATACAGAGTTTTCATATGACCTAAATATTCTAAATTCAGCACAGCCAAATTTAATTCTCCAACTGACAAAGCAACATTTATTTAAAAAACACTGTTTTTTCTCCCACCACCTGTATGATAAATAAAGCATCTATATGTGATAAAGCATCTTTATGTGGGTAGGTCTGTTTCTGACCTCTCTGTTCTGTTCTATTAATCCTTCTGCCAATATAATGTTATTTATAAAAGGTAATGTAGCTTTCTAGTAATTCTTGATATTCAGGAAGGCAAGCCTTCCCACCTTGCTTTTCTTCAAGTGTGAATTGGCTATCCTTGGTGCCATACATTTCCAAATATATTTTACAATCAACCTGTCACATTACACATGCACATATACACATATCCATGTATTGAGTACACTGATCAACATGGAAATAATTCACGTCATTAAAATATTTACTTTTTAATGTATAAAAATGAATTTAACATTTGAATCATTTAAGTATTCTCTAATTTATCTCAATAATGGGTGCTTCCTCATTAAATTAAATAATGAGCGTGCTATAGAAATTTCTGCACATACACACCTTTCAATAGAAACATTTTTATGATTTTTAATTTTTAATTACACTGTAAATGGTATTTTTCAATTCTGTTTTCTATTTGTTGTCACAACTTTGGTGGGCATAGTGCCTAAGGCATTTGACTGCTAACCAGAAAGGCTGGTAGCTCAAACCCACTAGCCACTCCATGGAAGGAAGACTGGGCAATCTACTTCTGTAAAGATTTACTGCCTCGGAAACTGAAAGGAGGTAGCTATGTGTCTGAATTGACTTGATGGCAATGAGTTTGTTTTTTTGTTTTATTTGCTATTAATATATAGAAATACATCATTTTATACACCTAATGACCTCGCGAAGGAGCTCTGGTAGCACAGTGCCTAAGGCACTTGACTGCTAACCAGAAGGCTGGCGGTTCAAACCCACCAGCCACTCTTCGGAAGGAAGGTTGGGCAATCCTACTTCTGTAGTGATACTGCCTTGGAATCCAAGGAGAGGTCGCTATGAGTCGGGCACATAACAACAACAACACAATAATAACCTCACGAAATGGACTTCTAAGTTTTGTTTTGCAAATTCTTTTTGAGTATTCTACATAAACATTCATGCTTATAAATAATGACAGCATTTCTTCCTTTTCCAATGCTTATCCGTTTTATTTCTCTTTCAACTTACTGCACTAGAATATTAAATGCAATTGGTGACAGGATCCAACAGATTGCTGATCTCAGAGGAAAAGTTTTCAACATTTTACTGTTAAGTTAGATGTTTCATTAAGACTGATTTTTTTGAAGGTATCTTACACTAGATTAAGAAGATTCTTTCTCTTTTCCATATTTACTATAATGTATTTATAATTTATAAGCAGATAACTATTTATTAAATTTCTCTATATTTACTGAACTGATCATATGCTTTTCCTCCTTTATTCTATAAACATACTGAACTTTCTTGACCAATTTTTATTCCCAAAGCTAATTTTGCAAACCTGGAATAAATCCATCCTGGTTGTGATAAATCGTCCTTTTTACATATTACAACACTGATTTTGAGATTCTGTTTAAAATTTCTTCATCTCTGTTTGTGAGTGAATATAGATGCAATTTTCTGTAATTCCCTTCCTCATGATGTCAGCTTCATGTACTGGTATATAAAGGAAATAGCTTTAAAATAAACTGGGATCTTTTCATTCTTCCTCTCATTTCTGGAATAACATAAGACATGCTGGTAACTTCACTTAAATGTGAGGTAGAACTCATGAGTAAAGTCATCTGTGACTTGAGTTTTATTTTGAGAATAGTTTTTAAAACTATAGATTCAATTTCTTTAGTACCTACACAAGTATTCAGAATTTCTATTTTTTATTGCATCTGTATTATTATGTTTTAGGAATTTGCCTGTTTAATCCAAATTTTCAAATTTATTGTCATAAAGTCTCTAAAATACAATTTTTTAATGTCTTCAGAACTGGTAGTAATGCTCCTTTTATTTCTGACATTTATTACTTCTTCCTTTCTTCTTGTTCCTACTCGTTCTCAGCAGGACTTCATTACTAGCCTTTTCTAAAACCATTTCTAACGTGGCTGAGCACCTTGCTATTGTGTACTTCCTACTCATTAATTTTTGCTCTAGTCTTTGTTGTTTATTTATTCAGGTTAAATTTGCTGTTATTTTCCCAACTTCTAGAGAAAGATGTTTGGATCACTGATTTCTAGCATTTCTTCTCCTTAATATTTGTATTTAAAAAAGGTAAACTTCCCTATAGGCGTAACTTCAACTGTATTCTTCAAAATTTAATATTGTTGTACTTTGGCTGTTATTCAGGATAAAAGTTTCCTATTTCCTTTTTAATTATTACTTTGAGCCATGGATCATTTAGCAATGTATTTTTTTTCATTTTCAAGAATATACACAATGTCTGGCCATTTATTTGTTATTAACTTCTAGCATAACTACAATGGTCAGGAAAAAACAATTGGTATGGAATAATTATAGCCATTCAAAGGTAACATAATTTGCCTTCTTATATAGCTGTGCTGCAGAGATATGTTGTGAAGACCAGAAGTTCTTTCCCTGAAGGAGTTCTGTTTCTCAGTTTAAATTAATTCATATTTAATTTTGCAGCTCAATCTTTTGAAAGAATGGTTAGCAAGGACCAGTATGCATAGGTACAATGAACTCTGGACACTGACAAAACTCAATTTTCAGGTTCTGCAGAACTGAAGATCAGAATCTGAACCACTGTAAATTCACCAAACCAATTTCCTGCAGTGTAGTCCTATTCACACAATCAGTAAGTCAACACATGTCCTTCTACCCTGCAATGTCACTTAATTTTCAGAAAGCAGGAGCCATAGGAATTATTTAATGAGATTGATACATAAGGCATGACTAGACTGAACAATTGGATAATGACTACCAACAAAGAAACAAAATAAAATTCTAATGATTAGAAAGTAAGGTAACAAATTACTCTTTCAAAAATATAACTTGTCTGATGATGACACCTAACTTCAGTAAACGTCAATCAACAAATGTATCTATTCAATAAAAATATTCCGTGACTAAATAAAATTCTTAGCCCAATTCAGCAAAAAATAGTCTAATTCTTCATTAAAGAAAAATGCAGATTTAAATAATCTACGGAAATAAATTTATGTGATACTTGAAATTTTCTTTTTCAAAAAGCTGGTTATATTGCTTCAACTTTTATTGAGGTAACTGAAAATCCAACAAAACTAACTTACCGTCATCTTGTGAGGAAGGATATGTATATATGTGGTGGGAAGCTTTTGACTTCTCATCAGTATATGTTCCCTGGAAAGCAAACGAACAAGAAACAGAAAAAAATAAAGCACAGGGTAATAATAAACTACGAAAAGCCAGATAAAAATTCTGAAAAAATTATAAAAGCATTGCTTCACTTATACTTATTATAAGAATAGTATCACTATAATATTTCATTATTTTTAGGCAAGGAAAGGGAAAATAATGATAAACAACAACAACAAAAAAACCAGTCAATAGAGATTAAGGGTTGCTGCCAGATATGGGGTCACCATGAGTTTGATTTGACTCAACAGCAAGTAACAACAACAACAAGTGTAAAAGTAACCCGAGATTATCACAAATTATCATTTAAACTGAAACACTGCAGGTCTATGGTGCCTTAAGCCCTAAATTAGGGCTACATACAAATAGCATGGATACCTGACTCAATTCTACCATGCATTTATGCTGCTGCCACTGTTTTAAGTCAATATAAAAGCTAAAGTCAAGTTCTGGTTATAGCACAACTAGATCACTGCATTCAGTCTAGAATGTGACAGCAAAATCATTTAAAACAAAAGGTACTCATTCTAGAGACCATAGGCATGATGAGAAGCTTTAAAATCAATCAATAAACTTTAATAATGCTATTTCTCAATGGGGGAAATTCTAAAATTTACAGCCAAGAGCTATCTAAAGATGAATAAGGAGTTCTCGTGATGCAGTGGTTAAAGCACTCAGCTGCTAAACAAAAGGCTGGTGGTATGAACCCATCAGCCACTCTGTGGGAAAGATGTACAGCCTTGGAAACCCTACAGGACAACTCTACTCTGTGCTTTAGGATTGCTATGAGTCAGAATCAACTTGATGGCAGCAGGCAGGTAATGAAGAATTTAACAGGAACTCTCTATCTCTGAAATACTGAGGTAAACTTCTGAACAGTGGCCAGAGAGGCTGAAAGGGAGACATCACCATCCATTGAGGGTGAAGCAACAGAAGGAGGAGCACAGTATTGAGAACCCTAGGCTGTGGTTGCAGTCAGACATGCCTACATCTGAACCTCACCTCTGCAATAACTACCTGCATGATATGGGACAAGTAACTTTTTTGTGCTTCAGAGTCTTCTGTGGAATGGAGTGCTGACGATACTTATTTTCTTATTTGTTAAGACTGAATTAATAGATAACAATGAGCCAAGAACAAATACACTGTAAATGGTCCACCAATGTGAGTTATTATTGCATTTAAAATGCTTTGCTCCAAGGCCCAATAGTCAATATTCAATAATAGGACTACTATTATTAGATCTTAGGATCTCTTCCCTAAAGTTCTATTGAAACTAGCTAGATCCTTACATCCCTCTGGAGGATATCCCTAGAAAACAATCACTAAACCAAATTTCTTAGGAAATGTAACAGTTAAAAATTTAGAACAAACTATAGAAATATATATAAACTCTCTAGTGGCTAAGACACTTGCCTGCTAACCAAATGGCTGGCGGTTCAAACCCACCAGCCACTCCTCGGAAGGAAGGTTGGGCAATCCTACTTCCGTAGTGATACTGCCTCAGAAACCCAAGAATGGGTCGCTATGAGTCGGGTTTGACTCAACGGCACATAACAACAACAACAACAACTACCAAATATGATCTGGGAAAAGTAAGAAAGAGTATTTTCAGATTGAAGGCAAGAACCAGCATATTAATTTGTTCCATTTCTGCCCTCTAATGTCACACATGTAATTGAGCTACACTGTACAACTACTCCAATACTAAACAGATACGCCAATAGAGAAAAACAGTTTAAGTGGTTTGTTCAAAGTCGTAATGCCAGTGAAGAGATATATCGGACTTTCAGACTACCCAATCTGACAGCACAATTTTATTACCTTTCTCTTTGGTAGCGATATTATAGATTAAGAGAAAGACTGCACTAAATCTCTATTAGAAACCTTCACTCTAGGAACTTTCAAGATATTTTTTACCAAATGCTAAAACTGTAATTTAACCGGCAATTTCTTCTGCAGCAGAAAATAAGTATATTAATTATGAGTCTTAAGAGCCACTCCTAAGGATTGCTAAAACTTTGCTGCTTGAACAACGCTATTTCAGAAAAGAGTCCCTTACTTGGCTTTCCTCAGGTAGTTGCCAACATGACAAGCTTAGTTGAAGTTTGGCTGCCTATAGTCACAAACCTATACTCAGTAAATACCCAAGGTCTCAACCTAAAAATTAAGTTACAGGAAGGAGGTGAGTATGTCAGAAGACAGCACTGGTATATGTACGTCAAGTAAGCTTATAGAGAAGATGAAATTTTTTATTAACTTTTTTTAAAAACACCCACAAAACATGTAAATATGATACATACACTGGGGGGGGGGGGGCGGCGGGAAGAGGCAGGTTTAACTTAAATAGTACTCGATCTCCTGCTACCAACATCTTGCTGCCAGACATGGGGTTACCACGAGTCTGATTTGATTTAACAGCAAGTAACAACAACAACTGTAAAAGTAATTGTTGTGCTGAGGTCACAGGTCTCAAGATGAGAAGAAACACCTGCAAATGTACATTAATAATCGGAGTATGGAATGTACAAAGTATGAATCTAGAAAAATTGGATGTGAAATGGAATGTAAAAATATCGACATCCTAGGCATTAGTGAGCTGAAATGGACTGGTTTTGGCCATTTTGAATTAGATGATCATATGATTTTCTATGCTGGGAATGACAAATTAAAGAAGACTGGTGTGACATTCATCATCACAAAGAATATATCAAGATCTATCCTGAAATACAATGCTGTCAGTGATAGGATATTGTACATACGCCTACGAAGAAGACCAGTTAATACTACTATTACTCAAATTAATGCATCCATCATCAAAGCCAAACATAAAGAAACTCAAGATTTTTACCAACTTCTGCAGTCTGAAATTGACAGAACATGCAATCAAGATGTGTTAATTACTTCTGGTGATTGGAATGCAAAAGTTGGGGAAAAAAAAAAGAAAAATCACCAGTAGTTGGAAAATTTGTCCTTGGTGACAGGAATAATACCGGAGAGATCACATGATAGGATTTTGCAAGACGAACAACTTATTCATCGCAGATATTTTTTTCAACAACATAAACAGTGGCTATACATGTGGAGGGAGCTCTGGTAACGTAGTGCTTAAGATATCTGACTGCTAACCAGAAAACTGGCGGTTCAAACCCACCAGCCACTCCTTGGAAGGAAGGTTAGGCAATCTACTTCCGCAGTGATTCCGACTCAGAAACCCAAGGTGGGGTCACTATGAGTTGGGTCCAACTCGATAGCAATTAACAATAACAACAACATATAGGTGGACTTCACCAGATGGAGTAGACAGGAATTGGACTGACTACATCTGTTGCAAGAGGTGATGGAAAAGCTCAGTATCTTTAGCCAAAGCAAGGCCAGGAGCTGACTGTGGAACGGAGCATCAACTGCTCATATGCCAAGTTGAAGCTGAAGACAATTAAAAGAAGTCCATGAGAGCCAAAATATGACCTTGATTATATCCCTCCTGAATTTAGAGACCATCTAAAGAACACATCTGATACATTTAACACTAATGACCGAAAACCAGAAGAATTCGTGGGATGACAAAAAGAGTATCATCCACGAAGAAAGCAAAAGGTCTTTAAAAAGACAGGGAAGCTTCGAAGAGAAGACCAAAATGGATGTCAGAAGGGACTCTGGAACTTGCCCTTGAGTGGAGAGTACCTAAAGCAAATGGAAGAATCGACAGGATAAAAGAACTGAACAGAAGATTCCAAAGAGCAGCTCAAGAAGAAAAAAAGTCAATTATAATGAAATGTGCAAAAGACCTGGAGTTAGAAAACCAAAAGGGAAGAACATGCTTGGCATTTCTCAAGCTGAAAGAACTAAGGAAAAAATTTAAGCCTCAAATTGCGATACTGAAAGAGTCCATGAGCAATATGTTGAATGATGCAGGAAAACAGCAAAAGAAAATGGATGGAATACACAAGAGTCATTATACCAAAAAGAACTGGTCGATCTTCATTCATTTCAGGAAATGGCATATGATCGAGAACCAATGGTACTGAAGGAAAAAGTTGAAGCGCCACTGAAGGAACTGGTGAAAAACAAGGCTTCGGGAAACGGGGTAATACCTACTGAGATGCTTCAACAAACAGATGCTCTGCTGGAGGCACTCACTCAGCTATGCCAAGAGATTTGGAAGACAGCTAGCTACCTGGCCAACTGACCAGAAGAGATCCATATATGTACCCATTCCAAAGAAAGGTGATCCTACACAATGTGGAAATTATTGAACAATATCATTAATACTGCATGTAAGTAAAATCTTATTGAAGACAATTCAAAAAGCACTGCAGCAGTACACTGGCTGAGAACTTCCAGAAATGCAAGCTGGATTCAGATGGGGACACAGACCAAGGGATAAAATAGCTGATGTCAGATTAATCTTGGCTGAAAGCAAAGAATACCAGAAAGACATTGCTAAAGGGGCAAAGAGGCCGTATCTTCTGACCTCCTCTAACCCCATAAGAGGAAGACAGAATCACAATCAGCAGCCCAAGCCCTACCCCTGTGAGACCAGACATGTCACCTCCCTACAGCCCTTCCACCAACCCTGACACTAACCCTTCCTCCCGCAGCGGCCACCCAGAACTCACAGATTATGGGGTTTATTAGGGAAGCACCAGGCTACAATTCAAGTTCAGGAACACGCTCAGTCTCTCAGCCTGCTGTTTCTCAGCGGACAGTCTCTCTCCCAATAGCGTGTGTCTCAGTCTCTCTCCCAGCAGCGCGTTGTCTCTCGGGAGCACATTTCTCTCAGCAGCATATCTTTCTCGGCCAGCAGTCAGAGAGACCCCTTCTACCTCTAGGAGGGCTCCTTTTGAGCCTGGCAGAGTGGCCAAACTAACCAATCGTAACATCAGAATTTGAAGCACCTGAGAGAGAGCGCAAACTTCCCAGAACATTGCTTTGTGCCACCCGCAAGGAAATACCCCAGGTGGGTAACTTTTACAATCAGGAGCTCCTTAGTCACTCACGGCAAATTCCACCAGGGAGTTGACAAAGACTTATGACCAGAAAAGCCATACCAATAACTTATTACACTGCAGATGTTTAGTTGTGTTTTATTGACTATGTGAAAGCGTTCAATTGTGTGGATCATAACAAATTGTGGATAACACTGAGAAGAATGGGAAATCTAGAACACTTAATTATACTCATGAGGAACCTGTACATAGACCAGGAGGTCATTCAAACAGAGTAAGGGGATACGGCATGGTTTAAAATCAGGAATTGAGTGTGTCAGCGTTATATCCTTTCACCATACTTATTCAACTTGTATGCTGAGCAAATAATCTGAGAAACTGGATTATATGAAGAACAACTTGACATCAGGATTGGAGGAAGACTCATTGACAACATGTGGTATGCAGATGATACAATTTTGCTTGCTGAAAGTGGGGATGACTCGGAGCACTTACTAATGAAGATTAAAGACTACAGTGTGCAGGATGGATTACACCTCAATATAAAGAAAACAAAAATCCTCACAACTGGTCTAATAACCAGCTTCACGGTGGATGGAGAAAAGATTGAAGTTGTCAAAGACTTCATGTTACTTGGTTCTACAATCAACGCCAATGGAAGCAGCAGTCAAGACATCAAGACATAGCGCACTGGGCAAATCTGTTGCAAAAGACCTCTTTCAAATGCTGAAGAACAAAGATACCTCCTTGAAGATTAAGGTGCACCTAACCCAAGCCCTGTTATTTTCAATCACCTCATATGTATGTGAGAGTTGTACAACGAGTAAGAAAGACCAAAGAAGAGTTGATGCTTTTGAGTTGTGGTGTTGGCAAAGAACGCTGAGAGTACCATGGACTGCTAAAAGAACTAACAAATCTATCCTGGAAGAAATGCAGCCAGAATATTCCTTGAAAGCAAGAATGGCCAGACTTCGTCTCACCTACTTTGGTCATGTTATCAGAAGGGACCATTCTCTGGAGAAGGATGTCATGCTTTACAAAGTGGAGGGTCAACGAAAGAGGAGAAGGCCCTCAATAAGATGGATTGACACAGTGACCGCAGCGATGGGCTCAGGTATAGTAGGGATCATGAGTCTGGCACAGGACCAGACAGTGTTTCATTCTTATGTACACCAGGTCACTATGAGTCAGAGGCACAACAACAACAAGCCACCAACAATTATGTCCCCAACTCTAACTCTACTTGACTTTGTGATCTGCATGATGCAGAATTCTATGATGCAGATATACTGGTCTCCTTCACACTGGGAGTCGCTGAGAGGTATAAGCAGTTTAATTCATTCGGCTGATAATGGGGGGAGGGGGTGGCCACGGTGTTCCTCATTCAAGTACACCCAGAAGCACCTTGGAAGGAAAGCCTAGTGATGTACTTCTGAAAAAAATCACCCAATAAAAACCCTATGGAGCACAGGTCTAGTCTGACACAAATGGGGTTGCCATGAGTTGAAATCAACTTGACAGCAACTTTTTTTTTTTTTTATAACACTATGTCAATATATTTTATAAGACTATATATAATGACTCTAAACCAATGACCCTACTCTAGGCTAATGTGATCTAGCTCAGGAATTAAAGACAAGTGGAAAGAAAAAAACCTGGTATTACAAAAACCAAAAGACGGAAAAAGAAATTTTTAAAGCAGCTATATACAGTAATAAAGAGAACATGGTTGAGAGTTGTAAGAGGCTAAATACTATTCAATGTTTCTAAAGTGATTGTGTCTATTACCTGATGTCGTTTGATGATATCTTTCAATTTGTTAGCCAACTTCAGATCGATGTCTGGAATGAGGTAGATGTTGGGTCTGGTCAGACAATTACTCTGAGGAGGAAAGAACAGATGCTAAAATTCTCTTGGAATTGAAATAATGTCACATTATTTATACATTTCCCATATTGGCAAAAGGTGACACTCAAAGTTATGCTTCTTAAAATGAGACCTTGTATTAGAATGTAAAAGTATGATCTCAAAAAAAACACTCAAGATGTGCAGTAAGTCACGTAAGATCCCTTCCCTGCAATTAGGTACACTTGAATGTAAAATGTTGAGAATCATGACCTAAATGAATTCAGCATCAAAATTAAGGTTCCTATCACCAGATTAATGTCAATTTTTACTAAATTCACAATTTAACAGTCCAATGCAGTGTTTTCAGCTATACCTTTTATTTGGGAGAGAAAAACAGCACCCATTTTGACTCATCATGTAATTTACTTAATAGAAAATAAAGACCGTAGATTATAGCTAGTTTTTCCCACTTCTAATCTTACAAATATGATTAAGCTCCTCAAATCATGGCTTAAAAAAAAAATCAATCAACAAACAAAAATCGCAAAATTATTTCTCTAGCTAACTGTGCACGGGACAAACTCATTTTAGGCACTATATTAAACCTAGCTGCATTTTTTGCCAGCTGTATACTTCTTACTCTGGTAAGGTTAATTCAGTGATCAATAAAAACTGCCAATAATAAAAATAGAAGGATACACAAGCGAAAAAAATTGAGTGTTCTTTCCCCTCCAAGTTACAACCAATTAGATAAACAAGATCTATATACATATGTATATATAAAGCAGCATTTGCCCAAAAACTAAACTCTGAAGGCAAGAAGGGGCAGGAAAGAATGACAAATGCAAATGGCAAACACAGGGAATAAGTGGGGAGAGTGCTGTTACACTGAGGGAATTGCAACCAATGTCACAAAACAAAATGTGTATAAATTGCTGAAAAGAAAACTCATTTGCTCTGTATATCCAAACCATAATAAAAAAAAAAAAAAAAAAAAAATATATGCAAAAGAAAAAAAAATCTGTATTTATGGTAGAGCACAGAAACAATCCAAAGAAAATGACTGTATAAGCAAGTAACTAGTAGAACAAGACATATGTATTAAATGAGATTAAAATAATGGATTATGTGAAATAAAAAATCATAATTATTTCATCAGAAGTTTAAGATCAGTACTCTTAAAATAACAAGTTTAATCATATTTTATAGTTCTAATCCTCAAAGACCTCCAAAAGTAAAAATTTCAGAAATTTCCCTTTCTGTGTTCTTTTACTAAAAAAAAATACACTCACTGCCATCAAGTAGATCTGACTCACAGTGACCTCTCCTTGGGTTTCCGAGGCGGTATCACTATGGAAATAGATTGCCCAACCTTCCTTCTGAGGAGTGGCTGCTGAGTTTGAACTACTAGCCTTCTGGTTAGCAGTCAAATGCCTTGTTGTTGTTGTTATTTGCCATCGAGTCGGCCCCGACTCCTAAAGACCCCTCCTTGGGTTTCTGAGGCAGTTATCACTACAGAAGTAGGATTGCCCAACCTTCCTTCCGAGGAGTGGCTGGTGGGTTTGAACCGCCAGCCTCCTGGTTAGCAGTCAAGTGCCTTAGGTACTATGCTACCAGAGCTCCTGTCAAATGCCTTAGGCATCCAATAATAAAAATAAAAGTATATTAAAAAAAAAAGTTTATAATCTAACTTTCTAAGTTACCTGCACCAATGTTTTCTCAATGTTCATAAACATTTCAACATTTCGATCCATTCGGGATGGATTCTGTAGGTCAAACCTCCGCCTGAAAAAGAAAACATTAGTTAATTTGTCTTCCACCTATAACAGAAAACTTGGTTTCAGCACTCAAAGTAAATGAATTAGAATGACTTGGAAATTAAAATAGCACCCTACAAAATGTGAGCGTTCTCTCACTGGTGTAGTGAAAGAGATAATCCTGAAATCCACCCTAGTCAAAATGAAATACCAATTTCATGAAGCATCCTGGTGCCTTGAAGCTAAGATATTCTGCATCTTCTACATGCTTAAAAGTGATCTGCTTAAATTCAACTGTTAGTGTTCTCTCAGACCAACAGAAGTATGTTGGACATTTAATTCTGCCATAATCATAATACACATGCATTTATTTAAACAGACAAAATTTAAAATAGACAAAATTTCTTCAAAAAAGATTCCTAATCAACTGCATTAAGTAACAGTCAAAAGTAGAGTCAGAATATTCCTTAATATGAGAATTAACAAGAGCTGAGGGTATCCCGAGTATACAAATTCTAATTAATAAGAGGTACACCAATGATGCCCGCAAGTAAGATCAGATTTAAGATCAAGTCTTTCTTCCACAGAAAGTCCAAAAAGCATGCTAAAGACTATGAAGAAAGAAAGCTACACCCTTTTCTTGTGACTGTACAACACAGGAATACCAAGGGAAATGGTACAAATACTGCCTGAGTGGCTGCCATGAATTATTACAACAAACAAGGTATTGGGAATTGTGAGGGGAACAATGAGGTATATCATGCACTCAAAATGCTTTACTGTAGGAGCTAAGATAAAAACAGAGTATTTTAAATGATGTGACAGAGGACAGAATAATCTTAAGAAAACATGTGACTGCATAACAGAACAGTAAGCATTTGCTGTAACTGTATGATTCTTAGGTCACACTTGCCACAACCACCAAGTGAAGAGCAGGACCATTAGTTCATGAAATGAGCAAATTTGCAAGGAAAATTTAGGGGCAAATTTAAGGGCTCTAATATATGGCATAAATAGACTATCAAGCATAATTCAAAATGCACAAACAGCAGAAGAGAAACCAGATGTTTGGGACCTTCTAAAAATTAAATTTTTATGTGCTTCCAAAGACTTCTCCAAAAGAGT